GCTAGGCTATTCAATTGCTTGATAACCTAAACCTGCAAAAAGCTTTTTCAAATCAAGACCTTTCGTCATAGATCTTGGTAAATTTACCCTCATTAGCTCTAAGCAACTCCAGTATAAATTGTCCTAAAAGCTGCAATTTTGGAATATTTTAGGCTACGTCTAAGTATCAATCACCCACTCTTTGTTTGTTTGGCACAGCTGACTGAATTATTCAAGGCCGTTTACTTGGAGACAGATTTGTGAAGGCCCTTTAAGTTGGCAATCTAAAATAATAATCTCTTACTTACAGAGTGCTCCCGATCACAGGGCTCAAATAAGTTTCATCAAACAAGTTAAATAAGGAGTACCCAGCAGCACAAGAACAGATTTCCAATTGAAAAATACGCAAAACCACTCTGGTAATGGTGCTCAGAAGTAAAGTTGCCAAAATAACAAATTAGCTATTTCTTTCTAGATACACAAAACCAATTTACTTCTTCTACAAGGCATTTTTCCCAGGTACATTTTAAAACAAGATAAAGGGTTGGAAAGTTACTTTACCTGTAATATTGGTTCAGCCTCCTGGTGGGAGGGGGGGCGGGGGGAGGGGGAAAGACCTTTCTCACTATAATCACTGAACAAGTGACTAAGTGACAAAGGCACTCAGTCCTCCTGCATAGGCATGCAGCTGACGTCTCCAACACTGGAATCGCCAGACAACATTCCTGATGACAGGGAAAAGAAAAGGGAAGGTGAATGAGATCTGAAGGGGAAGGGCTGGTTATCTGCAGAGTTAAAGGACATTAACTTCATGAATTAAAATCACATTGAAATTTCTTCTAAAAAATGATTTATGAAATCAAAATCCCTTCATCAACTTAAATGACATCCTTGTGTCTATCAAGGTCTAGGTGTCTGCCTTGCTAGCAATGTCACCAAAAGCCCCATCGCCTTTCTTGACTGGTCCACATGTCCCAGGTGACCATTCCCATCGACCCTCTCCGGCAGTAACCTAGGGGGGACTCCGGAAGAAAACACAAACAAAAGAAGCTCCACAGTGAGTGTATTGGATTAGGCAACTCCAAACCAGATGGATTTTCTTCATGTGGGAGATAAATCAAGTATTCGATTTCCATTAAGGAAGGAAGTTCAGAACCCTGGAAATATCTTCAGAGAGTCACCACTGAGTGGAAGAGCAGCCTGAAATTTACAGGCATGGAAGAGAGGGTCCCTTGTCTCCTGCCATCCATCAGGGAGGATCTAACTCTTTGCTATGGAAAAGTGGTCCACAGACCAGCAGCATCAGCAGCGTCTGGGAACTTGTTAGAAAAGCAGAATGTCAGGCCTGACTTCTGCTGATCACTAGGTGCTTTCCATGCACATGAACATTTAAAAGGTATTGTTCTAACAGGTGCAGATTATCTTCTTGAAAATATTCAGATGATTCCTCCATTGAAACGTTGTCTATCTCTCAGACAGACACCAATGTTAACCTAGCCAGAGGCTCCGTGGAAAATCTCCCCAAAGCTAAAGTTTATTTGCCATTAAATTCTCTCAAGTTCTCTAGCAATGTAGATGGTGTGCAGAACGTCTTAGGCGTTTCCTGCTAAATTAGCCAATGCCGCATGTGTTCACCTGGTCTAGTCGTGCTCCAAGTGAACAAAAACCTGATTTTATGAGCCAGTGGAGCAGAGTCTCTCTGTGGCTGGAAGAATGAGTCTCAATTCGTGTATTTTATTTCTTCATTAGTGTGCCGTCACAGTGAGTGATCAGTAAATGCAGGGCTGCATAAGAATGCGGGGGTTAAAGGCAGCAGAATGAACAAAGAAGGTGCCTGATTGCCATGGCTGTCAGCACCAGGGAATTGGGTTTGTCACCTGGCTTAACCAACTGGTAAGGACTCATTAGAGGCTGGAATCTGTTTGAAAGGATCTCTGATGTTTAGGCTCCTTCCCATCCCCAGATCTTGTCAAAAGAATCTGATAAGGTTGGGGGTGGGGGGAGCGGGGGAGGGCTTCATCTTGTGTGTTATTTGAACAAGAGGTTCTCTGAGAAATTCCCACTGTCTCCTCTCTATTGAAATGTCTGCTGCAGCACTGACTGTCCCACAGAACTTTCTGAGATGACAGAAATAACTCAGAGAGAGACTCAGGCATGCTGCCCAGTATGGTGGCCACTGGCCACATATGTCTACTGAGCTCTTGAAATGTGGCAAACCTACATTAGAAACTGAATTTTAAGCTGAATGTGATTAACTCTAAATTTAAATAGCCATGTGTAATGCGGGGCTAATGATTGGACAGTGCAGGTCCACTGTTTTCATCAGGAAGAGAATAGATTCTAATTTTGCTGCTTAACTTACTAGTATACCTGTTAGCAACATATGGTTACCTCCCAGGTTATCCCTATCTCAAAGGAGGTCTTATGAGTCTTATGCAGTAAATGTTCATTGAATTTAATTTTTTTAAAAAAAGGACTTAAAAATTCAACTCTATAGAGAAGTGGTTTCAATTTTGTCTGTATAGTATAGTGGTTCTCAACCTTCCTAATGACGCGACCCTTTAATACAGTTCCTCATGTTGTGGTGACCCCAACCATAAAATTATTTTCGTTGCTACTTCATAACTGTAATTTTGCTACTGTTATGAATTGTAATGTGAATATCTAATATGCAGGATGTATTTTCATTGTTACAAATTGAACATAATTAAAGCATAGTGATTAATCACAAAAACAATATGTAATTATATATGTGTTTTCCGATGGTCTTAGGCAACCCCTGTGAAAGGGTCGTTCGACCCCCAAAGGGGTCGCTACCCACAGGTTGGCGACCCACAGGTTGAGAACCACTGGTATAGTAGAATGATGGCGACAACTTCTAAAAATACTGATGCTGAGTCCTACTCCCAGAAATTCTGGAGTGCAGTGAGGCTGTTGGGTCATCTAATTGTGCAGTCAGTGAGAAAATCATAACAGAGGCATGGACAGGCATTAGCAATCTGCTATGGAGGAAGTGACCAGCTGCCATAAAAGAGGACCAACATTTGTTAGATCCCTACCAGGTGCCAGACCAGAACAAATATTTTCTTATTTAATGTTTAATAAGGTAGATAGTGAGAACCCCATTTTACAGATGCGTAAACTGGGGATTGGAGAGGGTAAATAAACCCATAAGTTGGTGGCATTAAGATCAGCACTGTGTTTCTTCCTAACTCGGGCTTGGAGAGATGCAATAAGCATTAGAATAATCCTGCTCGTTTGGGTTAGTGAAGTGTAGGAGTTACAAGAAAATGGATCAGGAGAAATACTGCTGGTATTGGGTGTGGAGAGGAAGAGAGTCACTATTAAATTAACCACCCAATGGAACATAAGAATATTTAGATTGGAAAAAGAAAAAAGGCTTGGACTTGAGCATGTCCAATGTATATGGCCGTCCAGAGAAAGTACTTAGTCTACGAAAGGAACAGAAAAAGAAGACAACAAGGACATCTTTGCCCATGTACGCTTACACCTAAGAATGGCCCTCATGTATTCCTTCCCTGTGGAAGTTAGAGCTGGAAGTTAGGTAGCTGGCAAGAGGGCCTCCCAGTAAATGGGGGTGATGGAAGTCTTCTGGTTGTCCAGCCCTTCCGCCAGGCTGGGTGGAGTCTTGGGCATATTCCTTAACATCTCTGCGCTGGCAGTTACCTCCTCTATGAAATGAAAACAATCCCTATCTTATAATATCAGCCCTGTGATAAGGTTTATTGAAAGTGCCTGCCACATTACCTGGGCATAATTATAAATGGTTGTTGTTGCTATTGTATTGTCTCTGGTTATAAAAGGAACTCATGAGAGTATGGCAGTTTTAGTACAAATTTCGGATGGACCTGAAATTGTTCCCCTACCTTTTAAAGGTGGTACCTGGGCTGGACAATGGCCGAACAGCTGGCCTTACTGCCCCCCCCAACCCCCCGCCATGAGAAAGTACTTTTATTTGAGTGACGCTGGCTCCAGGCAGCAAAGATGGAATTTATAGTAGTTAAAAAACAAAATAATTCATAATGGCAGTACAAGCTAAATTATATGGAGTAGCATCATTTTATGTATTTTACATAGTAAGTAAACAACACGAGGGTGTTCAGTAGCAACAACCATGAGGGAGGTACTATTTACCATCGACTCCATTCCACAGATAAAGAGAGTGAGACTTAAGAAGCTAAACAATCAGTCACTCAGCTACTAAACGGCAGGCTTGGAAACAAAGCCAGCCCCCTAGGTGCATCCCTCCACACACAGACAGACTCATGCAGTGGAAACACACGGGTGGAATACCTGGGCTCACTACTCCCTGTTCTGGTCAAGGTCACAGCCATTGCAGGGCCTGAGAAGCCCAGAGTGTACACAGAAGGAAGGCCCACACCTGGGAACCCTGTCTCTATAAAAGTGTGAGAAAAGATTTCTCTACTCCCCAGCATACCAAGGTGCCATTCCCATCCATTCATTAGCCCAGCATTTACTGAGTGCCTAGCGTTAAACAAGCATTTGTTAGGATCCAAGCCTAACTGCTATGAATACAAAACTATGAGGAAAGAAGGACAAAGAGCAATGACAACGCAAGCTATGACATCAGTATCACACAGAACTGAAACCTCTTGTCCGCAGGGGATCCCATGCTTCGAGCCCTGCCCTATACCCGCTTCCCTGCCACTGTCAAGCTTCTCCTTGAGTCCTCGGTGAGCCCATAAAGCCATTTATAAATTCCAACCTCAGATCTAATTACACTGTCAGACGACCCCTGAATGCTCAATCTCTGCTCTGCAAAGTCGTCTGCTGGCAGCTGTGCATTTTGGAGGCAACAGAACAGTGAAAAAGATCCTTTCTTTTCATAATCATTTCCCCTGCTATGATTAAGAAAAGAGGCCTGTTTGATGTAATTTGCCCCCTGCACAGTTATCCTGGGAGAAGACCTGGCAATGCCCCGCTAGGTGGGAATGAAAGCTGTTGCTATTGTATAAACGAGAGACAATCACACAACTTACGGGTGCAGGGCATTGAGGCAGCATCACTGTCGGCTCTGAAAAAGCCTCGATCACAGGTGCAGGATATGGCTCCTTCCCAGACAGAGTAGCTGTGGGGTGGGCACTTGGCACAGGTGGCATCCGTGGAGAGGGCTTTGTAATAGCCAATTTTGCAAGCTACAGGAAAGAAGAAAAACAAACCAATATAAACCGCTGCTAATATAGCAAAACATAGCATCACCTCCTTGATTCCGAAGAAGGGAGACATTTTTGCTAATAACTAGTGATCGCCTGGCTTGAGATGCAGGTAAAGCAACCAAAAACGTGCATGGGTTACAGTCACTCTTTAGGGGACATTAACATTTCTGGTCAGAGGGCAGAGGAGCCCTATGGAAAAATTTTTCTTAAAACTGGTGATATCAATAAAATCACAGGTAGAAATTTCCCCAGTGTTTCCTGTGTGCTGGGACCCTGCTTATATGCACAATGTTTAATCCCCTGGCGCCTCTTTTCCATAGGTACCCTTATTAGCCTTACCTTAGAAATGAAGAATACCAGCTTTGAGCAGTAAATTGCCAGTACCTGACCATGCATCTGGTAAATGTCAGGGGCCAGCTTTGACCCTAAATGTCCTGCCCCCAAAGCCTGCACTCTTTGCCACATGCTATGAAATCTGAGAGCATGGTCTTGAACCAACCAGTTGGAAGTGTAGCCAAGTGCCAACAAAAAAATTGGTTGCTGATTATTTCCTAATTACAGCTACAGAGAGGGCCAAAGGGAAAAGACCAACAAAAACAACTGAGCACAAAAGAAAAGAAGAGTTGTTCAGACATGAGTCACAATTTCAGGGGTAAGTTCTATGTACTACCAATAGTAGATTCTGGAATATAATATGTTAAAAAAAATTTAACATAAGATCAGAAGATAGTTTGTGTTTATTTTCAAATTAATAAAACCCTCCCCAGGTTTTCAACACTCCCCTCCCTCCCTCCACACACCCCTGCCACCCTCCACCACCACAACCAAGGGGCTGGTGCAGAGAACATGGGCCATATAGTTCCTTATGCACCTGACACACTTTCCATGACTTCATCTTTACAAACATCATCACACTGACACCGAAGACTGCTTTCACTAATGTGGAAAAACCCACTAATTCTGGGAAACCTCACAATAAAAAATAATTAAGAGAGCCATGCTCCCCTTTTTTCTCCCTATGCCCTTTCACGATCACCTCCCAAATCTGTCTCAATCTCAAATAAAAATTGACCAACACCATCAGTATTAAACCCACAGTGACAAGGCCATTAAACATAAAGTTATTTCAAAGACCAGAGGGGGGAAAAAGTGACAGTTACCGACAATCTTTCCAGTGTGATCCACTCTCAATTCTTTCCAGTTATCACCTCCTTAGAATGTTTCTATACTATCAAGAATACCAACTGGGAGAAGAACCCATCAGGCAAGTTTCCATCAGCCTGACCCACCAGAAGAGACCAACCATGCCAGCAAGCCAGCAGATTTTATTCAAATGAGGAGAGACAAAGAGGTCCACAAAACTGCTTGATTCTCTGAGCAGCGATGGCCTCATTCCCTTGTCTCATTACTCATCCATCAAGCATCCGAGTGGCTTCCAGTTGAAGGCTGTTCCTCGCTCTTGCACATCCTGTTGGTATTTCCTTAATCGTGCTCTTGTAATCGCCAAGTGGAAAGGGAGTTTAGCAGAAGCTCCAGAAAGGCACACAGTTCCTTCGTCGCTATTAACTAAAGTTGTTTATGGAATTTCCTTTAACGAGCCAGAAGTTTATGACGTGTGGCGCACCGACCATAAAAGCGCTCAGAGATCAATCTCTCCCTTATTTGCTTTCATCTCTCACTGGACCGGAGCATCTTAGAAAAACAAGTTGCTCCAGTGACTGAGATTTATGTGTCTTGAGTTTATACAGTCCACATAATTAGATAGGGTTCAACATGCAAGGTGCTTTTGGTCATGCTTATGATGGCCCTAGGGTTTGGATTAAAATCAGAAACTCCAGGTTTGGCAGAAAGAAGCACTGGCTTGTCCGTCCCACATCAAAGACCATGAGTCCCTGAACTCGGGACAAACCCACTGGGTCCTGTCTGTCACTCACTCAGCCACAGCCCGCAAAGGCAACCTGTCCCAGGGTGCGAGGACGGCCAAGAAGGCATGCATTGCTTTTATTATTTCACATCTGGATGTTGGAGGAAAACTCTCCGTGTTCCTGACTAATCCTTGTGCACCCCCATTTCACCAGGCATCAACATCTTAAAACTCACAACGGCAGTGAAAGATTGACAATGAAAATTGGCCTGCGGCTGATTCATTGCAATGGGAAAACACGGCTCCTTCAAAAGCTTGTAAGAAAAATAGAGCGGTGGGAAGCATTGCTAATTCTTCAACTTCCATTCCAGTAAGATTACATCCAGTCAAAAAATTAAATCCATAGTTCACAAAAATCATAGTGGAGGATGTCTTTAATTTCTTAACGTTCAAAAATTAGTCCGATGAACATATTAATTTAAGAAAAAACTAGTTTGGATTTTTATATATTTTTCTACATTTCCTTGAAGCTAGTATTAGTGTGCTATCAAGAATATGTACATGTGAATTCAATTGGAGAATATGGTTTTTTACCTATTTGTAAAATTGAAGGCTGCTGTTCTTTAAACACACTAACTATTTTTATTCTCTTTTCCTCTTGCTTTTACAAGCACAAGCTGAAAATACCAAATTGTCATTGTGCTATTCTCAGCAACCCTTGCCACATTCTTTTGTCTTCAACTACATTAAGACCATGTTATTAATATTTCAGGATTCTTAGAAAGGATCTCTGAAAATATAGTAGTAGTTTTTCATGCACACAGCCCTTTTGCTGTGTTCAAAATGACCTACTAAACTGATGGCTCAGTACATCTTTTTTATTTTTTTGCCTTGAGTGGTTGGTTCACAGCCCTCCAGCATTTGGTGCACAAATGTGTAAGTACATCCCATATTTATTCACCACTTCTTCGCATCTTAAAAATTTTAGTTCATCTTTCATTGTAAAGAATATCCCAGTGAAAGATGTCTTTGGTACAGCAAGCATTGACACGTGCTATGATTTTCTATCATTCTCTGGTGGGTGAGAACAGTTACACTGCATTTTTGAATGATAATACCTTGGTGAGCAAGCTTGTAGCGAGCCAAAATGCACACCCAAGAGACAACATCCTTCTGCCCCTTTGCTGGTGAAGGTTCACTAGCTGGGATGCAGTATAATGGATGATTGTACTTGGCCTTTCAAATATGCCACCGTGGGAAGATGTGTTCACGTGTACAAGGCAAACTTTGAAACCATTTCCTTTAGTTTTGCCTTAATTAGTTCTTTCTGCTGACTTTAAATAAAAGAAAAATATCGATGAGGACGAGGAGGAGAAAGAAAAATTATTTTCTCTCATTAGTTCACCCACTACCCTCAGGCAGTTGTGCAGTGTGGGGCATAAGTAGGTTTACAGTTATGTGTATTGGAAACAGAGTTCATTCTTGTATTATTATTTATTAATTATTGTATTATTTTCCATATGAACCACTGTAAACCTAATTTTGCTCCACCCTGTATTTTAGGATAGCCTTCTGTAGAAGTTTCTTTGTGGAATACTTAAACATAATTACTTTTGGTTAAAAAAATTAAAAAAAATATTCCTAAGTTTATATAGTACCTTCAGGATTTCTTGGTGCATAGATGACTTACTTACATGAGGTGTAAGGCCCAATTTAAGGAACTAGTTAAACTTACTCTTGAAACATATCCTATATAGATATTAGGGTCACTTTTCTCCTTTTGAAAAAAAAAAACAGAAAGAAAGATTGATAGTACCTGATTGTCTTTATAGTCTGTTTTTAGACAAATTTAGTTTGTATTTGAATACTATAGTGAGTTAAATAAAATACCGTGATCTTTTTCATTTTACATTATTTTATTTTATTTTTTTAAATATGTTTTATTGATTTTTTACAGAGAGGAAGGGTGAGGGATAGAGAGTTAGAAACATCAATGAGAGAGAAATATCGATCAGCTGCCTCCTGAACACCCCCTACTGGGGATGTGCCCACAACCAAGGTACATGCCCTTGACTGGAATCAAACCTGGGACCCTTCAGTCCACAGGCCGACACTCTATCCACTGAGCCAAACCGGTTAGGGCTCATTTTACATTTTTAATGTGGCTACTAAAACACTTAAAATTATCAGCGTGGGATGCATTATATTTCTTTTGGGCAATGCTGCCCACAGTCCAGACTATTAAGTCTCCTCTGGGCTTGTGTGTGTTTGTGCACACACGTACACTCAGGCACTCTGGCAAATGCTGGTGCTGACAGTGGTGGGGATGTGTCCCCAGAACTCAAGGTCCTTCAAAACTCACCCTGAGTCCACCTCAGAGGCTTAGATTTGCTTCTATTCAAGTACTGCTCTCAGCTCTAGCTAATTTGAAAAGAAAAGGCTAGTTTGAGTTAAAATACTAACAAATAGGTATTAATGGGTTAAAAATTACATCCCTAGGTAACAAATTTGCATTTTAATATAGATTCTCCAGAAGGTCAAAGCTGAAATTCCAACAGTGGCTCTCCAGGGGAAATTTGAGCCATTCTGGCAAACTTGTCCTCAGGAAACAGTTGGCTCTGGGAGGCCTTTGTTCTTTCCAACCTCCAGTGAATGGACAGGCACTATGGGAGCTCTGCCTTTTGCGTTCTGATATACAGCATTTTCAGTATACTTAGGAATCTATCTTATAAATACCAAAGTCACTTAATGGCCCCCATTGAATTAGTTCTGATTAATTGTTCACCTGCTAGACTATTTATTTTACAAATGATGTAAGAATAAATGATGAGAAAAGAAGACACTCTGTCAGAGGGTTTCTGCTGTGAGGTTTTTTTGTAAAAATGTGCGATCCTCAGCCACCTTTGGGGAAGCTGTGAACTTTAACAAACATTCCCCACAGAACAGATGGGAAAACCGAGGCAGAGAGGTTGCAGAGTCGCCCAAGAGAGGGTTCCTTTCCTACTCCAGGCTGTGCAGCTTGAACTACTGTGTTCACAGACCTCTTCTCTTGCGTTTGAACCCTACAGGGTAAAGATAGGCCATTGCTGCAGGGAAATGAGGCTCTGCTTTGGGT